ATCGGTTGGCAGCCATGACGACGGCTGCGATCGACCACAAGCGAGGGACAAGCCTCGCCACGGGCTAGCGAGGCTTGAGCTCGCCAGATTCCGCCGAGCTGAGCGAGCCTTGGGTGAGGCTCTACTTTACAAGATCCGACAAGGTCGAGCTCAACCAAGGCCACGAGCTTGAGACTCTCAAAATTGACGAGCACGAGGCCTCGCGAGTCTCAGCAAAGTTGAGCTCGTCGTGACTTACCGACCTCTTCAAACTTGCCAGAGGTCTGGCGAGGCTCAAGCTCGAGCCTCGCCGGCCTTGGGTGAGCTTGTTGTGGCCAATTGCTGATGTCACCATGGCCGACCACTGGCTGAGGAAGAAGGAAAAATAAAAAGAAAGAAAAAACATAATTAAAATTTTCATTTTTAAAAAATATTTTTATAAGAACGAATGTTTTATTAACTAAGGACCCAAGCCTAAGCTCTGAGAACCCGCGCTCGGCTTTGTGAGCTTGGCCCTGGGTGTCAAGGACTACAGCTTGAGCATCGAGAAGCCAAGCATGGCATTTACTGACCTAAGCTCAGGTGCTAGGACATTGGGCACGAACACTAGGGCTTCGGGCTTCAGACCTAGCCTAGGTGTACCTGGCTGTGGGCACCGAGGAATCGGACCCAGGCACAGCCTCGATAGACTAGCGCTCGAGCTCCGAAGACCTGGTCCTGAACACCGGGGACCTATAAACTAGCGGGTTAGAGTTTCCGTACTCAAGCGTAGATTTTTGGGTACAAGCGTCAATAATGAGGAAAATATTTTTCGTTGACTCATTTTACTAAGCAAACCAATCGCCGGAAAATGAGGAAAATGTTTTCCACAAAACAAAGAGAGTGTTAAACTAGAAAACAACTCAATTAGAAATTTTCTTTTTCTTTTCATTCTCAAACTCGAGATATAATTTCAATAATTCCACCTTGGCTTGATGCTTGAGTCAAGTTACAATCGTTTCTTGTAACTTGAACTTCTTTGTTACTCTCCCACGGCTCCTCAACGGCTCAACCGCCACAAAGTCTTCCAAGTCCAAGCCTCGCTTGAATTTCGTCATAACATTGGACCGCATCAAGATACCAATTCCACTTGCATTTTTAGCTACTCCATAAGGATTTTCATACTCGGTCGCCTCTATCACAGATAAAGCAATACCATTGTTGCATTTGTACCTGTGAGGAGATTGAACATGCACCTTGTTAGACTTAACATCTACAACAATTGTTGGCTCTACGGGCTTCTTCTCACTACAAGCATTATCTGTGTTGATTACCATCCTAGCATCCGCTACCTTAGAAGTTTCTGATTGCAACTCCACCATGAATTGAACACCGTCCAAATCCATATAAATACTGCCACAATCATTCTTACCTAAATGTACCGGAGACTCGTCAAATATAATTTCTCTTATGACAACAAGCGAATTTAATTTCGAGCACAATAATCAATAGCCCCACTCACCCTGTGCATAACTTAGGAATATGCATTTTCTTGCCTTCCCATTGAGCTTACTATCATTCATTCAAATATAATACGTACAACCAAATATTCTAAAAATAGAATAATCGGCAACGTTACTTGGTTACACTTCTTTGAGAGTCTAACATCAAATCTTAGTCAATGGGGATCTATTCGCAAGATAGCTCGCAGTACTAAGCGCATATGCTAGTAATTTCCTAGTCATCTAAGAGAAAGCATTTTATAGGCCGACTATAGTAATGTACTAAGTACACCTATTAGGAATTTCCTAGTCATACCAGACCTAAAAAGCATTTTATAGGCCTTCTCTGGTAATGGTTTTGCTCATAACTTTACAACTTGTTGAGGTTCATTGGCATTAGTGTGGTGTCTCACTATGCTTTCCTTCTGTCGCAACCTTCCCAGAGGTGAACCACCAAGGGAAAGGCTAACAGACTTACTAAATGGGAACGAAAGTCCCTCTCACGAGGTAATCGTTCGAGTTTAGTGCAGACTTTCTCAAGTCCATCTGACCGTAACTTGGTACTCAATCAATCATGTAATTAATCTTACCTTTTGGAGTCGCCATTAATCAATTATAGGTCGATTAGACACTTCATAAACCAGAGATTCAAGAGATTCGAGGACTTAATTACGCTAGATTAACCTAACACCCTTTCGGTACCTTTTCTCTTTAATTCGAAAATGTTTTTGCATGCAGTCTTTATCCATTTTTATCCTATGACGCTAACATGTGAGGAATGATCATGCACGTGGATCAATGAATCACGTCCAGATAATATTAAAGGTTTGACCTTAGTGTCTAAAGGTCCAAACGTCCTAATATATCTTGGTTAATGCAAAGAAAATATATAACTAGATAACCTAAGATTTTATTAACTAATGACATACATTTAAAATCATGTATTGAACTTAACTATACTAACATTATCCTCACCTTGGTTAGATTGCATTCATATTAGTTTCTTAGTTTTGATTTGCATATTTAGGAACCATATGGTTAATTAGGAATTACTATTTTATCTTTAAATGAAAATCAAAAAAATAATAATAAGTGGCATGTTTCATATAGTCATCATTGTCACTTCATCATTGCCATGTCATCTTTGCCGTGATATCATTGGCACGTCATTGTTGCCACGTCATCGTATTGTCATGTCATAAATTCCATGTCAGCATTGCCACATCATAATTTTCATGTCATGCTAGATTAATAGTTTACTTGTCATTAGAATTAGGTAACATATAGATTGCATCTATATAATCTATGTCACATGTTATTAATTAGATTAGCATTATATAGACACGACCTAGCATTAAATTGTATCTCATGCATTGCACATAATTTAATCTCTTATAAAACAAGAAAAACCAAAAATCAAACAATTATTGTTGCATTTAGAAATCATGTTTAGGACATGCATAATTTTCATGTCATTGCATGTCATGCTAGATTAATAGTTTACCTGTCATTAGAATTAGGTAACATATAGATTTCATCTAGATAATCTATGTCACGTGTTATTAATTAGATTAGCATTATATAGACACAACCTAGCATTGAATTGTATCCCATGCATTGCACATAATTTAATCTCTTATAAAACAAGAAAAACCAAAAATCAAACAATTATTATTGCATTTAGAAATCATGTTTAGAACGTGCATTATTTTCATGTCATTGCATGTCATGCTAGATTAATAGTTTACCCGTCATTAGAATTAGGTAACATATAGATTGCATCTAGATAATCTATGTCACATGTTATTAATTAGATTAGCATTATATAGACATAACCAAGCATTAAATTACATCTCATGCATTGCTCATAATTTTTTTTTTGGTAACCGAGGTGTCCGGGCCAGCTTGCACGCACCTCGACTATTCCTCGGGAGAGACTAGCACAGCAACCCACCGCCATGGCCTCCCACTTAAATCACAAGTGCTCAGCTGGGAAATCGAACCTGGGACCAGTGCGCCTAACCACACAATCCCAACTACGCCCTAACCAACTGAGCTACCCATGGGTGGGTGCATTGCTCATAATTTAATCTCTTATAAAACAAGAAAAAACCCAAAATTCCAGCTTAAGGCTTAAAGATACAATCAAAAAGATTACATTTGCGTTGTTGATTAGGAAATAAATCCTAATTGATAATGCCTATCACTCAAAATATTTGAAGTTAAATATTGACAAGCACAAATTAGGCAATAAGATATTCAAATTGATTCGGATAAGAATTTACCTAATTTGTGGATAACTTTCAAATTTGAACTCGACGGATCACAAACGGTGGTGACCGGCGATATGGACGGTGGGGACTCAGCTCAATGGTTGGCCTCACGGTGCTCAGCCGGTGTGTATTGGTTCTCGATATTGAGGACTATCATGGTGATACTGTGAACTCGCCGGGAAAGCCTACAAAGACGAACGGATTATGGTGTTGCTGGTATGGCCAATGACAAAATCTCGATGGTTCGGTGAGGGACGGCGAGGCCGAGCTGGAGGAGTCACTGATAGCAAGCTCGTCGCAGCTTCAACAGGGAACAACAGTGACATTGTCGGATTCTTTGGGACAACACCTATTTGTCGCGATCATCGGAGTAGGGGACCAAACAAGGCACAGGCGAGGGTCATGGTAGAGCGGTGGGCTTGGCTGCACGATTTGGATAGGGACGGTAGGCATGAGGCGGCACCGGCGAGGATCTTGCAATGGAGCAATAGGACAAGGAGCTCGTTACCGGCAGTTGCAGGTAGCATGAATAGGGAAAAGTGTCAGAAAAGTCTTAAACCTATTATATTTGTATCAATTTAAAAATTAAAAATTAAAAATTTGAATTTTTTTAAAAGATAAAATAAAAAATTATTAAAATGAGTGCAAGAAGGAAAATCAAATCATATTTTCCATACCAAACGACGAAAAATATTTCCCAGTTCATTTTCAAATCTCATTGAACATTGGAAAATATTGTCATTTTCTACTTTACGGAAAACATTTTTTTAAAAATTTAAATTTTTCGCGAAACAAATGGAGTCTTATACAGCTGAAGAGACCTCAAACCACGAGTCACCAGTCAACCAAATTCAATGTTTATGAAGATTGACCTGTTCTTTTGCCCCTCTCAATAAACGAGTAAAGAAACCGGACCCTCTAGCACATCTCCTTCAATAAAATACATTAACTTCACTTATATATACCGTTCTCATCAAAACACATGCCAGCATGTAGAAAGAGGTAGATGTCGAAGAATTCCTTAAGCTTTTCATTTCATGCATTCTTGCTTCGAATCTCTCTCTGTTTTCACTTACATCCCATTAGTTTAAATCGCCAAATCATTCTCATCGCATCCAAATTCCTCTAAAATGATTTGCATCTGCTATCACTGTTTTCATCGGGTAACTTTATTCATTGCTTTGGTTGCTCCTCAGGCTCGGATTGAAACGCAGTCATTATTTCTTCCGATCGCATAAAGGCGGGCGAGTGAAGAAGAAACAGTCAGATGTCGAATGAGAGCGGCAATAGGATTCATCCGGAGCACAAGCTTGAGCTGATGATGCAGGGAGACCCTTTCTTCTGCAGCGCGTGTAGACAGATCGGGTTCGGATTTTCTTATGGTTGCGAGACATGCCTCATCCTAGTCCACAAAAAGTGCATGTACCCGCCTTCAACGGTGTCACACCCTCTACAGAAGAATTGCAACCTCAAGTATAATCCTCAAGCTGGTACGAGTAACAAATCCACGAAAGATGCTCCTTTGTTTTCCTGTTCTGCTTGGTTTTTTCCCCTATATGATTTTATTTCTGTTTTTTCCCTCTAATTGCAGTTGCCATTATCTCGGAAATTCACTAACTCAGAGAGAGATGTAGACAAAATTCACGGAGTAGTAGTCTATTTACATAGTTCGCGTATGTACAGACCTTAATTTCTAATCAACTCAGTCCAAATGCTAATAGACAAAAAAATAAATACGAAGTATATAGACCAATTATAAAGGTGATTAACCATCTGCGATGTTTCATGTTTAATCATTGTGTAGTTGCCAATTGATGACAGTTAGGAATCTCGGTCTACCAGAAAAATTTTTTTTTTTACCTCAGACCAAGACCAGTATACTATTAAAAGAAAGATTGTAGAATCACAATCAGTGCATGAACCTTTTATAAGGAAACGCAAGTCTTATACTGTGGTATCTTTAACAAACGATCAATACTCATGTCGTATACCGTGCAGAACATCGCCATTTACATTGATAGTTAACTAATCATGTCAATGGTGAGGGAGGTGAGGTTCGTAGAAAAAAGTAAAACAGACTGTCTAGATTATTTAACACTGTAATTCCTACAGATACCAGTGGTGCTTGCACCTTCTGCAGCGCATGCTCGGAGCCTCTTCGCAGCAGCGCATACAGCTTCGTTGCCTCTGGCAATCCGAGCTTCCACCCATCTTGCCTCCACCTCCAGAAATGCATACACGTCAACGATGTCATGCTCAATCTCGTCGAATCGTGTTCCTCAGCTTGTGACTGGTGCGGGAAGAAGTCGATCTGCCTGAACAAAGTCGAGATCCCGAGTTGGTGGTACGTGTCTGAGGGCGCGAAGCACCGCTACCATGTGGGGTGCGTGAGAGAAATGATGGTGGAGAGCTGGAAGAGTGGCGGCATCTCTTACGACGAGGACGCTGATGACGGCCAGACATCAATGACAGCCGACAAGCCTTGTAAATGGAAAGGCAAGAAAAGAGGGTTTGTCGGGAGGACGATAGTAAAGTTTGCTTTTGTTACCGGGTGGTCGGCGCTCACTGGAGACGTGACCGGAATTTCGGGAAACTTGTTATGGAACCGACGATCAAAGTTAATCGAACGTTCCCGATTCTTGACATAGGGTCATTGATAAGCATCTCCAAGTGTTCTTGCGCGAGCTTAATAGTTTATACGTGTTATTGAACTATGTGCTGTGAGTAAAACATCAGCTGGTGATGTTTCATTATGTTCATCACTCCTGAAAACTATGTTACATATCTATTTGAGTTGTAATTGCTTTCTCTTCACAGTTATTGTTATTAGTTTTAAGGGTAATTTGCATCGATGGTAACTGAACTTTAGTGGAATTCGCAATTTTATCACTGACGAATTACAAAATTAGATAAATACGTATTTCTTGGCATGATTTGAAAAGATAAGAGTACATACAAAGCTAAAACGGAATAGAGTAGGCCAGCAGTCGAAACCCAGAAGATGTCGAACTTATGACGTCTACAGAGAACTGTTCACCTCACACCAAGGTTGGTAAAGGTAAAATCGCTAGGGGCCTGTAAAATTGAATAACGTTGGTCATAACAACCGGTATAATTAAAGTTGAAAATCTCACCATCCCTGTTATTTTAAGTCATAAATATCTCAGATATTATTGTATTAAGTAGTGACTATCTAACAAATTTACTGTTCATAGCCAATGGAAATATGTCTAGAAGGGGAAGATCCTAATGCAAATACAAATCTATTAGTTTATAGTTCCGAATACTGTTCAAATGCAAACTAGGAAGAAAAAAATAACAATAGCGGTAATCCAGCAACTTATGTTACACTTGACACTCCATTTAAAAATTAAAACACATAAGATCGACGATTAGTAGCTTTAGAACAAATCGTCGCCCCCTTTTCTTTTCCTACTTCTTTATCATCCCAACCAAGTTAATCATCATCTTTATCATTTTTTATGGGCCTATTTCAGATGTTATTTCATGAATTTTCATTGACTCTCTATAGGGTAATTGAAGATATCAGGCAAAAAGCCAAATCTTATATCAATCTAGTTGCCAATACGAATTTTACCGATTTCACCGACTCTACCAATTTTGACAAGTGATTTTACTAATTTGCAATTTTGAGTGCGAGTGAAATTATTTGATGAAATTTGAGTCATAACATCGTACAATTCCCTGATTTTAATCGCGATTTTGACAACGTTGCCAAGCAGTCAATTATTTCAATAACAGCATTCTTCATCATAATCAATTCTGTGAATATACTGCCTAGCCCAACAAAAAAAAAAAACAATTGCAAAGAGGGGTTACTCTTATCTCTTGAGGGATCGATCTACCCGTCTGAAAATTTTTGTGCCTTAGTGCATTTTTCTGTACTTGGTACACACAATGTTATACCTAAAAATACTTCAAACGTATTCAATGAACAACTGAGAGTTGTTCTATTATGATCCAACGGTCATCGATTTCTGAGAATCTGGTCCTTAAGGATTTTGTGTTAGTGCTAGCATTGATAATAGGGTCATGTTCGTCCATCCCTGATTGGAGGAAATTTTCTCCATCCATGCTTCTCAATGGTACGTTGCAAGTATAGACGCATCACCCACTTTTGATTTTAGTTAAGTTTGTATGTGTCTAATATCCATAAAGTGTAACCCATAAATTATGGAGGAAATTTCTGGACCAAAAAGAAATTATGGAGGAAATTTCCTTCAACTAGGAATGGTGGAAAATATTACTCTGGCAAATATACTATACGAAAAGCACTAGCAGACTCGACCTAAATAACTGAAGCATGACGTCCTATTAGCTGCATGAAATGTAATAACTGCACTGAATTGAACTTTTCTTAGGACTCGACCACTGTGTGTTATTATTCCTTTTCAGAAAGGGGAAATGACACAAATTGTCCTTGAACTTTGACCATATGTGCAATCTGGTCCCTAAACTTTTAATTTGTTTAATGTAGTCCATGAACTTTAGTATAATGTTCAATGTGGTCCATGAACTTTTAATTTGTTCAATGTAATCCTTGAATTTGAATTAATGGAAGGACTACATTGAACATTTTCATATAGTTCAGGGACTAAATTGAACATGTACCAAAAGTCCAGGGACCACATTGAACAAATTAAAAGTCCAGGGACCACATTGAACAAATTAAAAGTTCAGGGACCACATTGAACATTAGACTAAAGTTCAGTTACTACATTGAACAAATTAAAAGTTCATAGACCAGAATGCACATTGGGCCAAAGTTCAGGGATTATTTGTGTCATTATCCCTTTTAGAAACGAAGGTCAATTTTGATGACAATAATAGTCGTTAGTGACAAATCGCTATGAATCAAGGCCATGTGATTAAATGTTGCTTTCAAGCATATAAGATTCTTATGCTTCTATGAATTTACTCGTTTGTGACCTAAGTTGAACATTATTAAGAAAGCAAATAAAGAGATGATTGTCTCATTTTTCATGTCACTTCACAATTATTTGTATATAAAGCTGATGGAATTCTTGCTCGTGGAGCGGCCAAACATAACATACTTGCATGATGACGATAGGAATCTTTGAATCTGTCGTGCTTATGGTCAGAATTAAGAAAAGGACAAAATTAACGGAAAAAGCTTGTCATTGAGTTGACAAATTCAACCGAGTCACTTACTTCCATTTGCCCTGTGCCGTGTTGTATAGTGCCTTGTCATGTGAGAATTTAAGAAGTAAACAAAATACATACTTCTTGACATAATAAGAAAGGTTTAGAAGTGCATAAAAAAACAGAAATTAGAGTCGTTCATCAGTTGACACCTAGAAGACATCAAATTTAATATATAGAGAATTGTTCACTAGGCTTCACAACTGGCAACAACAACACTGTTAAATCAAAATCAACTCTCCCTTAATAATTGAAGCATGATGTCTTAGCTGTGCGAAATACGATAGGTGAATAGGCATTGACCTTCATAGGACTTGACCAATTGCATGTTATTTTCCCCTTCATAAAGGCCAGTTGATGTTCGACCCCAACAAAAAAAAGGCCAGTTGATGTCAAATAATAGTTGTTTTAATTCATGCGAACAGCCGGTAGACGAACCCATGTGCTGGTTGAATGTTGCTATCATCCATGAGTTGCTTAGGGAGATTGTATCATTTTTAATTTCCAAGTTTTTAATGTCTATATCACCACCGTTACGAAAAACTATCCAATAAATTTAATATACGTGTGGGGTCATTGAAAATGGTATGCGAATTCTATGTACTTCCCATCAAATATCACGGTCCAGATTCAATCTAGGACAGTAATTGGTTCACTGAAAAGGACTTTCCGTCGGTCAAGTCAGAACACACAAACATTGAATATGCATCTTTGAACTTGTCAATTTCGTCTTTTTCTTAAATTGAGGAAAAAAAAAAGGCGCGTCATTGACTTGATATTTATTCTACATGAAGTCAATAGCATAACACATATAACTTGAAAAGACAAAAGAAAGGATGGAGATATAAAGTCAATAGTCAACTCGTAGTGTGATATGGACCAGCCAACAGCCACATGTACTTAGGATCCAAATCGAACTATAGTAGGGATTACTGTACTTCAACTAGGGCAACTTGTCCTTGCAACTTCCACACGTATTTGTCGGAACTTCCTTCCTGATGTTTATAAAAAGAGGAAAATGAAACCTTACATGCAAACCAACCTCTTCTTCTCTCATTTGAATCTGCTTCTTCTCCAAAGGAAAAGAGTTGAGGCCTAAAAACTGCATATAGTACAGGTATCTGTTTCTTGATGATTAATTCTTCAGGAAGTTCTTATTTAATCTTTGTCATTTGAGCTTTCAATCTTTCCATATTTCTTTTTGACATAGCTATGACTATGATCCAATTCTCAGGTAATTTTGATCACTAGCTATAAAGGAACGGGATCAGATGGGAGGCGAGGTGTCGAAGAACACTAAGGACACTAGTTATACGATTCATCCTGAGCACGAACTCACACTGATGGAGCCACGAGACCCTTTCTATTGCACCGCATGCAAGGAGACCGGCTTCAGCACCGGCTACGGGTGCTCTAAATGTGTTGTTCGAGTCCATCAAGAATGCAAGTCCCCTTCTCCGGAATCGTCTCTACGACTTAAACGGAAAAAGCACTCCTTAAAATTTTACCCTGATATGAATGCCGAAAATGGAAAACCCAGATTTTGTGCTGTGTGCTCCCAACCAGTTAGAGGTTGTGGGTACAGGTCGAGTTCGGGGAAGAATTGCCACCCATCGTGCCTGACTCTTCCGAAATCCATCATGGTCAACAGTGCAGAACTTCGTCTGGCAAATAAGATGATGTTGGACTGCAAATGGTGCGGCGTGATGAAGCGTTACATCGGCAAAGTCAAGATCCGGAGCTGGTCGTACGCCAGAGAAAATTGCGAGTATCATGTGGGCTGTGTGAAGGACATGGTGATTGAGAGCTGGAGGAATGGCGAGTTCGTTCCTGCGAAGGAAGGCGATGGTGCGGGTCAAATGCATATTAAAGTGGACCTTTCTTCTAGGGGGATATCAGGAAACTTGGGCAGCAAATTGTTGGAATTGGCTCGTAAAGGAACAATGGCCGCAATGACCGGAGACCCGACTGATCTGCTAGGTTAGGGGCAATACCCTTGATCAAACAGATCCAAAGAGAAGACAAATGTTCTGGGCTTACAGGAATTTTCGGTTAAATACATGCTTCACGTTGAAGAATCCTTTTGCGAATACGTTTAATTAGGTTTGCAAGCATTCGTGTTCTCTCACGAACGAGAGAGAGAGAGAGAAAGAAGCGACTGCATATCTCTACCTACAAAGCTCCACTGGACTTGAAATCGTCGCCAAATTGTCCATGATCAACAAGAAATTTTAGGATAGATATTTCTCCAATAAAATTCGAGTCTAAAAATAATGTTAGTACTTAAACCAAATCATGAATGTCCTACATGCATTTGGAATGTTCACTTATGTTTAATTTCATGTTTCAATGTCTAGTTCAGTATTTTGTAAATTCAAGGAATGTATTATGCTAGATACATTTATGGGTTATTTAAGAGTGAGAGTCATGTAACAAGCCTATATAAGGGCAAATCTTGTGATCATTTCATAAAATAAAAAAAAAGGATCTTCTTGAAATGCTAGATACATTTGTGAGAGTTTCTCGTATTAATCTCCTTCTTTTTCTTGATTAGAGTCGAGTTGAGTGAATTGTGAGTGTTTCCACCTTCAAATCATTCTATCAAATAAGACAATTAAATTAGTGCCAAATCTATCGATATCCAACATGTTAATGGAATCTCTAATTTGACGGGAAGGTGATCTCGACTGGTTCAGTGGAAACCTTTATTTCTGGAATTTTCGGGATTTTGAAGCCTGATCCGACGAAGACGGCAAAGCTTTCAAGCTCGATCCGACAGAACTTCGACGTATTGAAAGCTTGATTCGACGAGACTTCCTTGTCTCTTTGAGGGTCAAAAGTCTTCCTATATGCGGAAAGCTCTTGATGTCTCTTCATATATCTTTTCTAAATGCCCCTCTCTTCTGGATGGGCACAAGGGCCATAGAGGTGAAGGAAATCGTTTTCCAAAATATGACAAAATCAAATCCACGTCATATTTTTAAAAGATATCCAATATTATCATTTTCTAATTATATAATCAAAAAGTGTACCTCGGAAGGTACTGAAATATTCGAAATTGCACATATATATATATATATATATATCGGGAAAATATTACCATTTCGGTGTCTTTTTCCAAATCGATTTCCATGATCGAGCAATTAAATATTACTTGAATAAATCCAATGGTGATGAGATTTTATTATATCTCTTTTGAAAATTCATATCAACACCTTTATACGTGACAGGCTAGTTGATGTTCTCGCAATCTTAATTGTTGGGACCATATTTCCTCTGTCTCTAAGTGGAGGAAACTTCCTTCAACTTTATATCTACTTCGTGGTTAACATACATAGAAATCACCCACATTTACCTGAAAATATTCTTACATACATCTAAAACATGCTAGCCAACTTCATCTTAGCCATTATTATTGTTGATCTTAGCGCGGTTCGATTTTGCAATCAATTTCAATTGCAGTTCCTCTTTCATTTCGCTTGCACCTGGGTAAACTGCGAAGTAATTGCGCAGTTTACTTAGTCCCTTATGTATTTATGAGCAAGATCAGGGGGAAGAGAGAGGTGGGCTAGGGGATGGTGGGTATGGGGCTTGACAACGGCGGCAATTGTGACGAGGCTGGTGTTGGTGTCTTCGCGAGGCCTAGGCGGCGCGCCGAGGTGGGCGGTGGTTGGTGTGGGTGTGCGTCTGATTAAAGAGAGAAAGAGGGAGATGGGAATGAAGGAGAGAAAAAAAGATTTTGCTTTTGGTGTTTTTAATCGAGTTGAGTGGATCAAGTCATCCGGTACAAAGCTTACGAAAAACCAAATTATATTTAGTAAAATTTGCATGTGAGTGATGTCTATACCATATAATCCATAAATAACAGTCATAGTTGGAGAAAAATATCCCATTAGTGTTCCATTATTTTTAATTTCAAAAAAATCACTTCAAAGATTTAGTTGAATGGTTAAGTATTTGGTTGCCATTTAGGTGGATCCGGTGTTCAAATAATAATCGGGGAAAAGTGCCAAAAAAGTCCTAAACCTTTTGCATTAGTGCCAATTTAGTCCTAAACCTTTTTTTGGTGCCAATTCAGTCCTAAACCTTTTGCATTGGTGCCAATTTAGTCCTAAACCTTTTTTTGGTGCCAATTAAGTCCTAAACCTTTTAAATTGGTGCCAATTCAGTCCTAAACCTTTTTGTTTTTGTGCCAATTTAGTCCTTCCGGCCAATTTTGACCGAAATTTGCCGACGTGGACGCCTGCCGGCCGGCGGCCAGTCACCGGCGCCGACGTGGACAACTATAATATTATTTTAATAATTTTTTGAATTTTTATTTTTTTTCTTTTTTTTCCACTTTTTTTTTTGGTTGTCTCCCTCCTTGCTCTGGCCGGTCGCCGGACCGGCGACCGGCCAGAGGCTTGAGGCCAGCGAGCTCGACCTCGCCGGCCACTGGCGACGGCGGCCTCGCCCGACGAGGGCAAGCCTCGCCTTGGTCGGGCGAGGCTCGACCTCGCCAGATCCAGCGAGGTCGGGCCTCGCCCGACCATGGCGAGGCTCGCCCTCGCCAGAGGCCGCGGTGAGGGCGAGCCTCGCCATGTTCAGGCGAGGCCCGACCTCGCCCGATCCGGCGAGGTCAAGCCTCACCCGACCAAGGCAAGGCTCGAACCCTCGCCGGAGGCCGTGGCGAGGGCGAGCCTCGCCATGGTCGGGCCTCGCCCGACCGAGGCAAGGCTCGAGCCCTCGCCGGAGGCCGCGGCGAGGGCTTGAGCCTTGCCTCGGTCGGGCGAGGCCCGACCTCGCCGGATCCGGCGAGGTCGACGCTCGACCTCGCCGGATCCGGCGAGGTCGGGCCTCGCCCGACCATGGCGAGGCTCGCCCTCGCCGCGGCCTCCGGCGAGGGCTCGAGCCTCGCCCGACCAAGGCGAGGCTCGCCCTCGTCGGGCAAGGCCGCCGTCGCCAGTGGCCGGCAAGGTCGAGCTCAGCGGCCTTTGGCCTCTGGCCGGTCGCCGGACCGGCGACCGGCCAAAGCAAGGAGGAAGACAACCAAAAAAAAAAGTGGAAAAAAAAAAGAAAAAAAGGAAAATAATAAAAATTCAAAAAAAATAATAAAATAATATTATAGTTGTCCACGTCGGCACCGGTGATCGGCCGCCAGCCGGTAGGCATCCACGTCGGCAAATTCTGATCAAAATTGATCGGAAGGACTAAATTGGCACAAAAATAAAAAGTTTAGGACTGAATTGGCACCAATTTAAAAGGTTTAGGACTTAATTGGCACCAAAAAAAGGTTTAGGACTAAATTGGCACCAATGCAAAAGGTTTAGGACTGAATTGGCACCAAAAAAAGGTTTAGAATCAAATTGGCACTAATACAAAAGGTTTAGGGCTTTTTTGGCACTTTTCCCATTGTTACACTCAAAATAATGTTGGGAGTCGTGCATGCCATCTTGTCGGCAAAATCTATCTAATGCGGTTAGATAAGGTGATTTACATGCATCCATGAGTATCAATCTAATTGAAAATTTCGAATACTACATGTTATGAGATCCGAATAATGTTTACGTATATTAATGTTGGGATGATTGGACACCATGCATGGACACGAGTAGAGTGAGGGGTTCTCATTTTAGGGTTGGCACCCGCCCATGTCGGTGCACGTGCTGAACCCGGGCACGATAGGCCCAGGCCAGCACATTTTTTTTTAGAAAATAATTAATCTCTTAATGAAAATATCTAAAAACATTTACTTAATTTTTTCAAATATTAAAAATAATGCAAAAGTTAATTGAGGAAAATGATTGAAAAACACTCATCTAATTAAAAACGGATGAAGGAAAGTACCTATTAAATAACATGAAAAAAAAAACATTTACAGGTACTAGTGTTCTAATAATAATAATACGCGAGCTTGGGCTTGGAGGCATCCTAATTTGATAGAATGAGTAGTTGTTGATATCTTTTCTAACAATACATGATCAAACCTATAACTAAAATATATTAGTTCTGTTTCCCAAGTTCATCAGAAAGTATTCCCTATAACATATTTCTGAAATAGCTGAGCAAGATGACCTAGAGGGAATTTTATTTGAAATTCTTGTAGGAATTGTTCCTTCATTCAATTTTGCAAAGTTTAATTTCATCGATGTACTCTCACTAAACTTATTTTTCCATTTTCTGGTTCGATAATCTTTTCAGCTTCTTGATTCTTTATAGGTCTTTGAACTTTTATCTGATTGGAAAAAAACCCTTTTTCTGGAAGTTGAGTTTCATCCCATCTAAGTGTCTTTGGTACTATTATGTTCGTTTTTTCTACATTTGCACACAGCAAAATGGTTTCTCCTTCACCCGAATATTATAATTTATGTGTTCTTAGATTAATTGTTGTTCACATGACCTTGTAATAGATTCTATATATTAATATTTGATTCTGAGATCCTTCAATCATGGCAAATCTTGAGCTTGTTTATATTTATCATTAGTGTTCTCCTGAAATTTAGATCCATTAGGGAAACAATATAATATGGATAGCAATTAAAACATTTAGGCTTCAGACAATGCGGAAGTGTTTAACGCCATCCGTGTAACAGGTTCTAAAGCAACTTGGACTAATCCCATATGTAGATAATTCATTTTTCCCTCTTTGTGGTAATTTCACATTGCTTTTAAAAGTAATTCGAAAGTTCTTCCACCATTTTCCACCCTTGAGATTGTTTCTTCAACAGTCTTAATTGCGTAATTTGTTCTAAATCCAAAGGTCCCTTCTTTCTTGTTCATATGTTGTACATCTACCTTTGATATACTTTTCTGAACATTTTTTTATTATATTTTCTTCAGTTGAGCTGATTTTGCTTATCCTTTATATCTTGCCTAAAATCAGAACCTGACCATGAATCGAAGGTTCCTACCATTGAACAAATTTCTACTTAATATTAGTTCTACCGTGCATGATCCGTTATCTGTTAATGGTTTATCCCCTTTATTGCCCCCAACATGACTTTAATTTGCACGGGGACTTACTACGTGACTTGACCGACAACCCGATGCAACAAAACTTAAT